CATCGCTATAGGCACTAAACAGCTGCCAGAAATGTGGTTTTATGGTCTGACTCACCGTTGTGGTACCTGGGTTACGACAAACCGAACTCCCGAGAATTATATCCTACCAGTATGCACTTATGTCGGCCGAAAATCTAACCAAAGTGAGTCAGTAAAGATTGGTACACCGTGCGCTGGTAACAACTGTGGGTTTTCACTTCTTCGTGGGTGCATAATCCGTTACACAGAGGAACAACAAAGCATAGCTGACAGTTTCTTTGACCAGGACCATATTTCGTAAGATCGGCAGACTCGTATGAGAGGTACACAAGGCTTCGGATGAAAAGGCCCTCCTCAGTATACCATTATTGAAAGAGGACACTAATAGGACGAGAGCGCACTGTTCTCCTTAGTCACTTCATTTCGCGTTTAACGCAGACGGTTATTAGCAAATATACACTCATTTGCAAGCTAATTTGGTTTTTCGAGAGACCGCATCTGATCTTTTAAGGGCGATCATGATAAGTTTACACACACAGACCAATCGAAAGTGGTTGGGTAACGTTAACCAAAGCTTCAGAACAGCACACTTATCACAGTAACTGGAAAACTAGTTGTCTGTTTACTGAAATGGACTACTGTATGTAGAGTAGCCATAAATGATGCTTCATATAATGAATTACCTGTTTACGTGGAGTTTTAATGTGTATATTTTCCGAAAATCGCACCCTGTGCCGTTCGATACGTCCCTGTCAAAGTGATGCAACACCTAGTCCGAAATGACTAACACCACAACACGTTGATGTTACTAAGAGGCATCCCAGTAGGTGGGATTCAATAGATTGCTTCGCACCCAACCCCCAACAAAGAGCTTAGCTGAAATCCACCATTCCGTTCAGCTGTAGCACCCTTTCGGTGCCTAACTGCCATGCCACCCAAAGTAAGCACGAGGGCTGGGAAACTGCCAGGTTGCCCAAGCCTAGACAGAGAAAGTCGAGAGGCAGAGGTCGAGTTCGAACCACGGACCTTCCGGTCAATAAATTCGCGCTCTCACCACTTGGTCCATCTCGCCCCCACTCCAAAGGAGATGATGTACGAAGAAGTTTCACCAGTCTGGGAAATATGCAAATGCATTCTCTTGGTGTGCTACCATCTCTGAAAGAAGCTCTTTAGGATCCTTTCTAAGTAACAGCTTACATTGGTGGGTTGATCAACCAAGATAGATCTCCCGGGGTGAGGTCACTTCTCACGATACCATGAAGTCCATGTTATATTTCAAGACAATTACCTATTCAAGACAGGCCAATCTTGGGGACGCACAGTTTGGTATCTCCCCTCCCCACGTCTCGGAAAGGTCGTGGACACCATAAACCACAACACGTGTTTCAAGCATCACAATATACTTTTGAATGGGATAGATTTGGGACATAAACCTACAGACTGATGGATTCTAAGCCGTCCAAGGTCTGGTTAAACCAGATCCGGGACGAAATACAACTTGAACGCCTCCCTCCTTTGTTCTTCACCTCGAACCTGGGACTTTAGTAAGCATAATCCACATAGGTATCGTAGAATAAATGCGCAGAACTAACAGGTCCCAGTGAACGATGTACTGCATGCCAGCGGAGAGAGAACACTGGCTACGCAAAATTGAGTGGAAAGGGCCGAGGGCAGGCAAACAGTGATCCTAGAAAACGGATCGAGAATGTGTTGCTCGCATCTTCGGTGAGCACAGTGGAATTATGGCGCAGTATGACATTGACAGCGAAAACCCAGGTCGTGGTCAGCACAAGAAAGGTCGTGGACACCATAAACCACAACCCAGGTCGTGGTCAGCACGAGTCCAACAAAAGCCACACACACGACAGAAAGACTTATGTCCGTTACAAAGTGCAGAAGGAATCAGGAGGAACCCGAAATTATGTAAAGATCACAGATCACTCAATGTGACCATAGACGCTTGTATTTCGGGTCGCCATGAATTGTCCCAAGAAATTTCCAACGGCAGCGGTTTTGAGTGAGAACATTTTTGTGCAGTTTGTTGTAGCCACCATAACCTAACGAGTCTTATTCGCTTCTCCAGTGATTCTGGTTCCTTATCAAATCATAACCTTCGCAGACTGCTGTTGGCCGACTTCCACCATGTTATCAAAAATCAATGATTAAATACTTGGATCAGAATGCAATGAAGCAAAAGTCCAAGCCAATGTAGGATTCAGATGCAAGTCTCTTTGGTCGGACTCTAAGTACAACAGGTTCTTGTTAGGTATGCAACCAAGCTGGAAATGGCTTAGTGGTAGTGAATCGCGATTGGCTGTTGGGTTCACACATCCGGCCAATCAGAGCTCGCCTAGGTGCTGGCCAGACAAGCGGCCCGACCTTCAGCTAATCACGTGCGAGTTGGGTTTCTTTAGCGTAACAGTGCTTAAATGCGAGCGGTAAAGCGGTTTTGGTGAGGGATTCCGCCTAGCACAGAGTGACCGTGATGAACTTTCAAGCTGGTGAGAAGGACTCCAGAGGGTACTCTATGCTCTCTCTTGACTTCTTAACTTGCTGTAGACCACCTGGTTGTATTGCATTTCAAGTTATGCTTGCATGTGCAAAGTCAAACTCAAACGAGCGAGAAGGAGCCCTCGATACACATTTCCATTGGATGTACACGGAAATCCAGCGGGATAGAACCATGGGGGACAATTGGTAAAATAAATAAGCAATTCCAACTCTTGTATTCTAGTTGAATCGAGAAAAGTCAGTGCAGTCCAAAAATTTAGTTCCTCGTGGCTGCCGAGAGACAAGAGTTCTGGTCTCAGATGCCTGCCTTACTGATTCGTCAGTAGACACAATCCAATACCGAAGCACTTGTAGGGGCTAGAGGATTTCTCAACGCTCCCAATTGACAGTTCCTTTGTTTGCTTCCATCAAGATACTGGTGAATTTGCAGGAAGCGTTCAGCTGTAGCATCCTTCCGATGCCTAGCTGCCATGCCACCTGAAGGAAGCACGAGGGCTGAAATACTGCCAGGTTGCCCAAGCCAAGACAGGGGAAGTCGAGAGGCAGAGGTCGGATTCGAATCACGGACCTTCCGGTCAGTAAATTCGCGCTCTAACCACTTGGGCCATTGACGTGGGTACTTTGTGTGTGGAGGTAAAGCAGCATCCCATAAGTGCATTTCGAAACGAAACGCCCAAGATACTCGTGCTGTGTCAGGACGCACCCAGACATGGAAAAAGAACATGTGCAGAGAGTGACGCATCCCTAAGGTGACCATCGGTGCGACACGTCCAGAAAACAGGTGCGTTGGCGGAGCTCACCAACGTGGCTTAGCGACATACGACCAGCGTAGTGGGACTGAGATTGTTCACGACCGGAACACCGCCATTGGCTGTACGGAGCGAACAAGTGAACGACTATATTTGGCCATTTAGTCATCCTATATATTACGCAGACGCTCTGTATGTTTTGTCCTGGCAATACAGCCGTGTCCCGAGTTTTCTGTCCTTTCCCTATCGCGTAGTCTGGCAAGCTCAGTACAGGCGTAACCCATAGAGGGCCACCCACGATACAACATACTGGTATTCAATTGAGTCTCCAAATGGTGCGAGTTCTGTTGAGAACGCCAACCCGGAAGGCGGCACAAGGGACTTAATGTCCTAAAGTTGATCACAAAACACCATGCGAAATTGTGGACGGCGCAGTAAGCACAAATCACCATATAACACATTTAGCACTGTTTGAGCGCATGACTATGAAATCCTAGCAGGGAGCTGAAACAAGGACTCCCGCATTGTCAATATCTGATTCGGGTAATTCGGACTGGATACGAATTTCTGATCCATTTTAAACTACTGAAGAACCAGCTAGTAATCAAAGGCATTAACAGCAACCAGGGCAGGAAACAAATAATTCCAACTCGACCACGAGTCCTAGTGATTATTTTCACAGGTATCCGTTTACACATGGATCGCATGCGGTACTGAAAACGATGCAGCATATGAACCAAGTGCAAACTCCAAAACCGAGCAAAATGGTGCAAGAAAACTAGAAATTCTCGGATATATGACGACGTGGGCAAATGCCGGTAGCTGAACCGGGCAAACTTTTTCGATATTTAATCAGCTACAAAACTGGTGAAAGGACCTCAACAGTTCATTACCGGCTTTACACCCTTTGTTCCTCACTTGATAAGTGTAGTCCCGCTGAATTTCACTGAATCTCTCGTAGGCAGTTTGTCCAATTTCACAAAAACACCAACCTGGGAGTATTCATGCTCTTTTAAATCCGTGGTCAAAGAAATGATGATTCAGGTGAGTTTACTCAGAAGTTCTGTCCTGATTGAAACTAAACTTCTTTCCCGTGAATTTGCCCGACCAGTCCAAAATTTATTCAGCACCCAGTAAGACTCGGCCGCCCAGAGTGTCTGCAGTTGGCTCAATCCCCAGCTACACAATGGGGTCACATCAAATGGCGAAACACCAAAGAAAAGATCCGCGCTGGGAGAGTGACCTATTGCGTGCTTCATCTTGATTGAGATTCATCGCCTGGATGTAGCAAGATCCGACAGCCTGGAGTTTACGATAATGTCAACATCCTTATGTTGTCGCACATCTTGGTTTAGCCCACGAATCCGTCAAGTATAGAATTACCAGTAAAACGTTGGATAACTGTTTCTCCTTGAAGCTGGGCATCAGGCGATCCACGACGCCCATAGGTAACTACCTCTGGTAGCGCAAGACAAGTGATTCCAAGAAGTAAGCAATCAGTGATTGGCAGCAGTTGCCCTTTAACCTCTACAAACTCCCTAGAAAAATGGCTCAGCTGTAGCACCCTTTTAGGCGCCGAACCACCATAACGACCGAAGGAGGCGTGAGGGCTGGGATACTGTCAAGTTGCCCAAGCCTAGACAGGGGAAGTCAAGAAGCAGGTTCGAACCACGGACCTTCCGGTCAGTACATTCGCACTCTAGCCACTGAGCCATCTCGCCGAGAAATCAACACAGAGGACACGGGGACACATTGGAGACTCTTTTTTTGACGTGATCACAGAGCTTACGCTCTTATGAACCTCTCCGAACGGGTGGCTTCCTTCAGAGAGTTGTTCAACCCATAGTAAAAAAAATAGAGCAGTGAAGGATGTGAAACCCAACCAGTTGAAAATAGAACGAAGCATCCCGTTCAAATCGGTTGTACCGGAGTCGAAAACCATCAATGGAATGAGTGGACAAAAGTAGACGAAAGATTCGGCAAGTCCGCAGACCAAGCGATCAGTGTTTTCAATCCAGATCAGCATATTCCGGATCGAATGTGTGCAGACGGACGTAACCCTCCTCACCGCCAGTGGCAAACCTAAGAGAGTAAGGGAAAACAGGGTGAAACGGCAATAAGTGAGGACAACCAGAGAGGAGCTCATGAGACACCGAAAAACAGAACCAATGCTTAATAGACAGATGGGTCAGCGATCCAAACGAGCGTCCGAAATCTACCGCATGAAAGGGCACAATATAAGGTATAGAAATACAACTTCAGGTATAAGCAGTGTTCGAAGAGTGCTCAAAATCCGCAGACAGTTTACAACGCCGGTTTCGTCCCGTTTACTCGAGTCTAATAGCAAGTAAAGTGGAAGTCAGCCAAAGTTGGCGTTACTGGGGGGAACACCCCATCAGCAGTTTGGTTGTTGGTCTTGGAAATCAATGAACTATGAAGAGCCACCTGCTTAAATGAACCATCTTCATGGATCAACAATGGTGTTTCCATCGTGAAAATATGCCTTACTAGGAATGATGAGTTATATCCAGGGGGTTCCAGGGAGCCCAAAAGACAGGTTGCTCCGGGAAAGGAAGGAACAACATGCTTTGGTTCTTGATATTGATAGTTGGGCAGTGAAGCATCAGTGTCAACTCTGATGTTGCTGTCCTCTGATGATTGATGATGATGATTATGATGATGAATAGTTGGTAGCTACTCAGGCTAATATCACAGAGAGTTCATCGAACCGTCTTGTTCTCGAAAAAGCATGCGTTTTCACGTTCCGACAAAGTGACGTTGTCTGCAGCCTCATATCAAAATGGAACATTCTTCGGCTCTTTCGACTTGGAAGTAGAAAAAGACCTGTTTCTTTAAGAATGACAACGTTTTATTGAGAACACTTCTTCACTTTTGTCTGAGCTCATGAGTTTCATTCATGACTTGAAAACATAGTCTGTGTCCTGATATACCTGTCAGCTAGTTGTAACCAGAGTTTAAACACAAAGTAAAGAAACAAACGGGTTTAACACCTATCCGCACTAGTTCCCAACCGGAGTAGATGCAGCTAAGACTGCTGCTTGTACAAGTGCCAGTCAAATCCGATTACCGTCAATATTTGCCCAGGGGGTGTTCGCTTGGTTGACCTTATTTCTACGTAGATCTCTCCGGGCACAGAATAAGTGATTAGTGTCAGTTTGGTTAATTACATTCCGAGGTGTTCTATGAGAACCAAGAAGGAAACAACCTAGAACTTTGACAAAAACAACAAATGTGTACACAATTGTTGTTGTTGTTGTTGTTGTTTTGCCAACTGATTACGAAGACTAGTTGGACAACACATGTGACGGGCATTTATTCCCCATAAATACAAAGTATTTCTATCGGTCAGTTATTGTTTGCAAACCGGATTGCGTTGTGAAAAAAGTCTAAGCAGCGTGCTGCTTCCGCAGGGTGGCCACCCATTGAACAACTGTACAGTGCCCCGCAGAACGGCACGTACCCTCAGAAACAGCCCAAATCACCTTGTTCTCGGAAAGGCACTGTTTGCTGGGAGCGCAAGCAGTCCACAATATTGTCGAATGCGAATAAAAAAGAAACATGTAAGTTTAACGACATGGTCGGAATAAAAAGTGACCGCAGCTATACTGGGATGAAAATGCACTAATCAACATGTCGTGTCAACATTCTAGCTACCGACAGCTAACCACACTGGCGCTGAACAATGTTAGTCGTAGGAGGAATATCTGGTATCCACTACTGAAAAAAAACCATCTTCCGTTTTTAGGTTGAACTCTTTCTGGTGCTTCCAATTTTCTTTGTTGGATTGCACGCCGTTTGTCTGTGTTCATGACGCGCACCTGGATTTACTGATCTCAAGGCTGTATAGGTAAAATTGTGTCCTCGTTTTTTTTTAATGCGATCACTCTAAGTCTAAGCACCTTCCTGACAAGGATAAACCACTTCTGAGCCATAAAAAGTGCTGAATCAGGGTCGAAAGTAAGAGTTGTGTGTTGCGTAGCGCCCCGGAAGTCAGCAAGCAAGGTAAACCGACGTCCTCGCACTTTGAACGTAATGGGATAGTGTACTACGGCACCACAGAATTGAGCCGAATCGGTAGGATATACCTGATGGGCACTCATCCCACTCATCAACCAATGAAACGGAATCATCCAGACACGTCTCAAGTGTTGCAGTGCATGGACTGAAGGGTATTGATCGGGGGGGTATGACAACCGATAAGTAACTGCTAAGACCAGCTGCATGTTCGTTATCTGCATCTCCGAGACATCAACCCCCGGCCTTTATGAGACGTCGGCACGCATGTTTCTAATACACTTCCAGCAGTGCTGTCAGGTCATGTTGTGCTATGAGACGTCGGCACGCGTGTTTCTAATACACTTCCAGCAGTGCAGTCAGGTCCTGTTGTGCTTGAAGGGACTCTATATTCAAGCGAACTTTTATCTGGATGTTGGGTGGGGGGGATATTAGCCGCACAATGTACTCAGCTGCAAAACCTTTTGCGCCAAAATCTTGCACTTTCTTGCATACTTGCCTAACCCAAAAACCATCCTAATCTACATTCATATTTTTGCAGGTCGCCACTGAAGCAATCATAACTCTGGCGGAAAAGTCTGGTGGAATAATTTCCCAGCATCATTGAGATCACGGGACGCCTAAATAGGGCTCAAAATTATGGACTGGTACTCTGAGATCAATTGCCCGATCGCTTTAGTCCATCAAGGACGGGTCATTGTGTGAATACTGAGCGCCGTTGGGTGGGTTGTAGCACTGTGTCGGTTACTCTACTAAGGATCTGATCAGTATTTGACCTCGTCTGCAATACAGTTGGTTCAAAATGCGGTGGCGCTATAAAGGCGCTATCAAAAAAATTGACCTTTCAGCAAATGTACTAACTCGATGCGTTGAAATCCACCGCTGACCCAGCGTTACCATTTAATCATCATTTCCAAAAGTGGTCTATTTTGAGGTGTTTCCTTGTCTCTTGAACTGACACAAGATTTTCCCCGAATATTTGTCCCTCCGCTGAAGTCCAATTTCACGTCGCGAATAGCCAAAGCACGAGAGGTACGTGGCGTTATAAGTTAGCTACTACTTCCATCTGTTATTGCGTCTATTTCAATACGACTGGCCACTCGCGCAGTCAGGGGCGCTCGCGCATCAAAACTATCGCCTTCATTGTGGAGCTACCTAGTTTTCGAACCAGCTGAACATGCCATCACCTCCAATGCCAGAGTGTATCTCCGGTGATCGAAACTATAACGACTGGGACCAGTGCATCCATGGTACGTGATTTATAGCTGATAAATTGAACTGACCGATTTGAGACTGACGAAATACGACTGGTCCCACAAAGTAAGCTTGTTTGCGAAACCTGCATGGTAGCAGTTCAGGAATCATGGTTAACAATGACCGCGAAACAAGCTTGTTCCTTCTAACATCCGTGTGCAGAAACAGTGCGCCTACTGAGCATGTCCCCTCGCATGATGACGAAACGCCTGCAAGCTAACTACCAAGTTCAGAGAGCAGATCAACTGCCGTTTGATCGACAGCTTGCTCTCTAGACAGGGACATCTTCATCCAGTCTAATCGCTTCTCCAAATAGAAGGACAACTTCACCCCACTAAGTGGGCAAAAAAGACGCCCGCGTGTAGTTCTGTTGCCGCGCCTCGTAAGAAAGACCTTTTATCGAGACTGTGGACTTTCCGAATCCGACCGACTCAAGCATCTACGAGTTTGTTTATTCTCCCCCTTAATTTGGGCTGCCCACGTTGAAACCATTTTTAAAACCTAAGAAAACCTTATTTTTTCCCATAGGAAACCTGCGCCAGTAGAGTTGTCCTCCCAATTCTATGTACGTAAGCGTGTTCCCCGTTATTTTGCACCACTCTCCCGTCGCGTTACTCAAGTCTGCTCAAACGACAGCTGAAGCTAAATTTCCAAGACAATTTTACACCCATTTCCACACTTACCTGTCGTCTTCCAAAGATGTTCGCTCACGTATACTCATCACTCGTATCAACCTTTCTAACTCAGGCCCTTCATCAGCAAAGACCTTGCAACTGTACTAGGAAGGCTTCCAAATAGCTGCCTGCTCGTACTCCCTGTGCAAAAATCCAATTATTCCGTCAGTACGTAAACTAACTGATTCCGAGACTCTCAGACTCAGACAACCTTTTCCACTTCACTGCAATAGTTTGTTTTCTGCTTCATGGGAGAATACACAGATATCATGTCACTTGAACAGGACTTGGTGAAATCTACCTATCGAAGTGGGGGTGCACTCATTGGTCAAAAGCCGAGTAAAGCACTGTCGCCCGTCTTTCGTCAAACATTCCAGAGCTGACCGATTATCGTCGCTCGAATGATCTGCAGTGTTTCACAACAGATGCATTGATTGGTTTTGAAGTCGTGGTTCTGCAAGGTGATCAATTTGCAGCCGATATCCAAAACTGGATGAAAACTATTTGGTTTTCACGGGGGACTTGATTGAATCTCTCGTTTATGATGTCCTCCAACTGAATGTGCTGCACACAGGCCACCTCATGATTCAGTTGGCACGATATTCTCGAAAACAGTGCAATTTGGGTTCAAGTAGGTCATAAGGTTAACGGGAACTCGTGGACTGCGCCTACCTGATGAGCCCCAAGAAGGGCGAAACCGGTCGTGCGTTGTCGAAGAGTTTTCAGCAACCTTGTGAGTAGTTCCATTTATGGATGAAAATTAGTTTTTGCACATTAGGATTGCCCGGGTAGTCACAGTCGGTAGGCTGAACCGTCTCGTTGTGGCAACCGAGGAGAATAGGCAAGAGGAGCTCGCCTGAATATAACTGATGCGCTTCGCTCAATTTTCCTCAGTGTGACGACGGTTATCTGTGATGCTCAAGTGTCACGGGGACAGTAGCCATAATAGATACTATTTGCATTCCCTGATGTCTATCAATTTCGACGATCCATTTTATACCGAGCAACTCCAGTCCGCATCTGTAAAAAGATGTTCCGTCTATATCTTTGTAATGTACTACTCATTAGGTTGCTGAAAATCCGTCCACAGCCCACAACCGGTTTCCTTTTTTTGGGGCTCATCAGGTAGGCGCAGTCCCCGGGTTCCCGTCAACCTTATGTTCTACTTGAAAGCAAATTGCACGAAATTAGCGAATATACACTTATTTGCAAACTAATTTGGTTTTTTCGAGAGGCTTACCTGGAACCCAGCTGAATCTCTTGTTTGTGATGTTCCCAGAAAACCTTATGTTCAGCAACCTTATGAGTAGTACATTACAAAGATATACATGTATCGCGATATCTCGAATATCATAGTGACTGAAACATGAGGCGGCCTGGTGCAGCCCATTCAGTCGCCTGGAAATATCACAGACGAGAGATTCAGCTGGGTTCCAGGTGAGTCTCTCGAAAGAACAAATTAGTTTGCAAATGAGTATATTCGCTGATGTTCCGTCTAATTTGGCATCAGACTTCACGGGACCGTGATAAAAAGGTCCCCTGAAGGATATTCATTCCATGGGATCTTGTTTGGCGAGTAATAAACACCTCAATCTACAGTGCTTCTGGTGACGTTATTGGGTGTTTTTGACGGTGTTCACCGCATAACCTGGAAACTGAGATTGATCAGGAGTGGGTGTGCCCATTTTCCATTGCCATTGACAGCAGTCACACAAAAAATACTCTCCATTAATGTGAACTTCCAAGCCGGTATGCTGAACAGTGGCCGCACTAGCAGTCCACTGCTAGTCAGTTTTCATCCATTTCATGGATGGCATTGCGTCCAAAAGAAACATGACTCTATAATTGAAACACTAGAACAAGTAACCTTTTCTAAACAAACGAAAGATTCATTGAAAACCGAATCGGTTCTTTGTTCCGCATCAATCAATCATGCATCAAGTGGGTAATGTATAGGAGAATAGACTGGTTAAAACTCGGGAACTATGGTTGCCTGATGAGAAAGTGTGTGAGGGGACAAGCTGTCGGCGAGGCTTTCTCAGTGTGACATTTCTTAAGAGTGGCAAATAGGTTAGGTTTTGCACACTTCCAAGTCAATTTTGACAATGGGACAAAGGTAAGTAGTCATCACATACCCAGTCCCGTCGGGAGTGAAGGAGACGCTGTTGATTGGACCGAAATGCCCCTTGACACGACCGAATTCCTCCTGATAGATCAAGTGGTAGAATCTGGCATCAAACTTTCCCTGACCGACCGCGGTTGTGGTAACTTCGTGAGCTTCCTGACCACCACCTAGGAGTACCTAACACATATCGATAAAAAAGGATAGATTATGCGTAGTACCATTTGCGATCTGTCTCGTAACGATCGATAGAACAAGTCAATTGCTGAGAAGTGGCGGCAATGACCAATGTACATACAAACATATATAACCAAGATTCAGATTCATTCCCGTCGCCACGTTACGGTTTACACACTCAGCTCTCAAGGTCATTACGCCTTACAAACTGAAATCATTGGGGAATATGAAAAAAGCTTAGAAATTACTGTTCATTTGCTTCCAGCACACTAGCCATGTGATTCAGCAGACCTGACAGAGAGCCAGCTGAAGATTATCATGGAGGATAAGGTGCCCGGAAGAAACCCTTCGCATGAACCGAGCTTCCATGTGAACACCTCAAAAGTCAGGATGAACTCGGTAGCGTTGGTTGAATGATTTAGCCAAATGATCATATTCACATGACTCGGACTGAAGTTGTGTTGTGCATGTGCCGAGACCATGGACAAAAAGAACGATTCTTCACATATAACCCTGAAAACGTTCCAAATGCTGTTCTGTTCATTAACCAATTAGACAGACCTAGTAATTTGCGAATAAAGACTCTAAGCATAACTGTGGCTCAAATGAGTAGATAAGTAATTGGATGATTAATGCTCAGAGCTTGAATTGTGAATAATTGGTGCACAAGAGAAACAAATCCGCCAGCGGACGCTTCCAAACTCCAAGAACTCTGTGTCTTTCAGCTCAGGAACCTGATGCACTGGTCCGAAGTTTTTGAGTAAGGCAAAATCGTCGTTCAGCTGTAACACCCCTCCAGTGCCTAGCTGCCATGCTACCCGAAGGAAGCATGAGAGCTGGGGCACTGCCAGGTTGCCCAAGCCTAGACAAGGGAAGTCGAGGGGCAGAGGTCGGGTTCGGACCACGGACCCTCCGGTCCAACCACTTGAGCCATCTCGCCCTCATATCGACTAATCAAGACTAACTGAACTATGTAGTTCGACAGGACGACGAATGGATAAGCTTGTTGATTATGCGAGGAGGAGAGGGAACGCAGCTGTTGAGTCCGAAACCACTGCAGATAAACCAGGAAGATTGTTTCAGAAGAAGCTATGGGCATTGAATGCAGAACTGTAAGCTATATGTGACCCCAACAGTCTGTCACGAAGAGATTGGATTTCCCGTGAAGATTTGTGTACCTCCATGATTCGCTCAGCTACACTGTGGAGGGGAGTGGTGCTCGTGCGACACTAGCAGAACCCTCGGGTGGCCAATGACTGGAGGTCTTACTAGAAAATCCTTCCGGAAGGCTAGATTGGGAGAGATGGAGCGTGTGCGGCTACTGGCTCTTTAAAAACAGCAATGACCTGGCATTTCCTGCAAAAAAGACTGCTAACTTACTATCAGACTTTGGTTGAGAACTCTAAACTGCTTGAGCTTTTCACTTAACAGCCAAACGGCTTAATGATAACCGGTCGTTATTATGAATAAAAGTCCCGCGACGGTCCCACCGAAGTGTTCGCATCTCCTGGTTGAAAAATCTGAGGAAACTACCTGAAATTTTGGAATGGACAGTCATAGAGAGAGCTGTTTTTCTCAATTATTGTAGCGAATCCGGTCAGTAGGCTTGATATATAGTGAATCCGCTGTTTAGTTCACTCAGACTGTCCTACGAGCCAAAACTACCGGGAGCACAAAAATTCATCCTACGTTGAATGAAGTACCGGCGTGGGACTAGAAAACCGGTCCTTATTGCTATATACGAACCTTAAAATTGCGTTCCCCATTTCTTTACCGCACACTGTCCTAGTAATGAGGAACTCACACCCTCAGGAGAGAACAAACAACGCCAAAGGATTTGGCACAAACTCACGTGATCCCGTGTAGGTGATATGGCTGCGGAATTAATTGGCCGTTCTGTCGTGTACGTTCGAATGGAACTGAGGTCATAAGCACTGTATAACTGAGAAACGGAAGTAATGGGAAAAGAGGACATCAAGTATGGAAACAGGAGAATGAACAGTGGAGTTAACCAGCATGTAGACTACTCACTTTAGCAGTATGATCCTTTGACCCAGTGATGAACATTGGGAGGTGTAGATGCATTTGGATATCGGTCACCGGGCCCTTATGTGACGCGATGTGATGCAGCACTTGGCCGGATCGCACGTCCAGAACAGTGAGGGCACCTGAATCATGACCACAGATGATGGTTTTATTTAATGGACCCCAAATTGCCCCAGTGACTTTTGTTTTGTCGGCGGAAAAGACTCGAAGGACTGGGGAAGCGCCGGAGAGCTGTACAAAACCCGGGGAACAAAGTGTGCACATAAAGGACGATTTGTGGTGGACAAACTGTTGCCCAACAAGCGGTCCCACACATTATATATATATATATATATATATATATATATATAAAGGTTGTCTGAACTTGGAAGACGGTATTTCAGAAAACTGGGGCTCACCATTTCTTGTATATTGACCAAAAGTGCATCCGAAGCAACTGTCATAAAACGGGGTCAGGTAGACGACCAGGCAATTCGTAACATACCGATCGGTGTGAAGTCCCCATCCAAAATAACTGTCTCGTAAAGGGTAATTCGAAATTCAGCATCCGTCCCTAATTGTGCCGTCCTAGATAGGGCTCCAGAGTACTGGCTATCGCCCCACCCGGCAGTCAAGTAACCATGGGTCCCAGGCGGCCAGCTCCGGTGTTTCCCCATCATCGACAGCATGACCGATGCTTCACTGCAGTACAAACATGACTTATTTGAAAGCCTTATTGTAAAGAAAAGAGTAAGGGAGGACGGGGGAGGGACTTAGTGCTAGCTTAACACAATCATTCCGAGGTGCCGACACCTCCAGACATTCACTCAGGCTATCCGGACAGAAACTGACAACAAGAACGCCACTGACATCGATTGGCAGCCATATCTTGTAGTGTCTCCAACCAGGCGCAGTAGTGATCACGCTGTCCGCATCCTGAAAAGCGAGTAGCACCGACAGCACGCAAGCGTTTCGTGATCTCCTTCATACTCCTCTGCCAAGTCAAGGGTTGGCCACCTCTCTGTTTACGCCACTCTGAGTTGGGTATGGAAAACAGCACTCTCTTCGGCAAACGATGGTTCGGCATACGTAACACATGTCCCAACCAACGCAGCTTCTGGTGCTGGACACATTCTTCAATGGAAGTACCCTTTACACAACCGAAAACACGTTCTCTAACTGCCTCGTTACGGATTCGCCGACCCCAACCCACACGAGCTATGGCTCTGAGACAACGATTGTCGAACACCTGAGGACGTCTCAGGTCCGCTGCTCGAATAGGCCAAGTCTCACAGCCATACAACGAGACAGCCCGTACTGTAGCTTGAGTGAAAGATGGCATTGCGTTCTCATCCTATGTGAGATGCGCAGCGCTCATAAAAATATCCCCTGCGACACTAAAATGGTTATGCCCACTCGTGATCAGACCGAATTCATCTCCTGGGCGTAAACTCTGAGTCCCCATACTTCCAAGACTGATACTAGGCACCCTTTTGGTGCTTAACTGCCACGCCACCCAAAGGAGACACGATGGCTGGGATACTGCCATGTTGTCCAAGTTTGGACAGCGTAATTCGAGGTGCAGAAGTCGGGTTCGAATCAGGGACCTTCCAGTCATTAAATTTGCTCTCTAACTACTGGATAAAAAATCATCCAGCAGTAACACCCATTCGCTGCCTAGCTGCTACGCCACCCGAAGGAAGCACGTCGGCTGGGGTACTGTCAGGTTGCCCAAGTCTAGACAGGGGAAGTCGAGAGGCAAGAAAAAAATCGCGCTCTAACCACTTGACCCATCTCGTAGGAACATTACCAGAGTGGTCCTTATGGGGAAAGTCTGATTGAACGTCAATTATAGATGGCGTAAAGCTACCACAGCAATTCAGATTTTAGCGTGTCACGAAAAAATGACCGGATACGGAACGCTCGTGATAACCAGCAACTGTAAAACTCAGGCTAGCCGAAGTGATAACACCACGTGCCACATCACGAAGGGCATCGGCCACGGCCGACAACGTGAACGCATTTGATGGCCTAAAACGGATGAATCCCACAAGAACGCAGAACCAACGTCCGGAAAACTACGTCCTTAGGTGAAACTTTGGCCGCAGAAAAACAACTGGATTTCTTCAATAGAAAACCGCACACCGTAGAGGGATAGAAGCTGGAAAAAAGCGGGAATCCGGGTATCTGCGAGGCCGTCTTGATTCCAACTGCATCCAACAATTCACCCAAAGTGATGCCCTCTGAGGCACCTCTACATTCATTTGCACGACAACAATGACCTTTCTTAAGCGGCAACGATGGTCACCATCGTCATCATCACCATCGAAGACACCAACATTAGTGTTGGCACTGATGCTTTATCGCCGTACAGCCATAAGGTTCGTCTAGCCATATATATATATATATATATATATATATATATATATATATATATATATATATAACCGTGGGGAG